TCTTAAAATCAAGACGGCATTGGCTTAAGCTCACATTTCAATATTATGCGTAAATCGGAGCCTTCATTAATATCTGCTTGTCGCGAAACCATACATCTTGGATTTTCTAATATCAACTCAATCTTTTGGCATTTATTCCTCATTTACCAAGACCTGAGATCATAGATTTATTTTCCTCAATAATTATTTTTTATATTTTTTCCTGCAGGTAAACGATGTGGTCCTGTTCGGCTCCTTCTTTGAAGATGTGATCGGTTGCCTCAACCATCTACCCACTCAAGGCTTCCTGATTTGTGCTCGATATCCATGCTCACCAAATTCCAATTTCCTTTCTCATTTAGACCGAGATGGTATTTTTGTATCCAAAACCGTAAGAGGTGTGGAGTTGGATCCTTATTCTAATCGACCTGAAAAGGTGGAATCAACACAATTGATCAAACCCCTATCGGAGCAACTCAGCACAAAGGATTCCGAATCAACTGATCAGCGTCTTCCGCAATACTCGCGTTTGTGGCTGCCTGATAGACTTCGTTTTCTAGAGTCTGATTCTAGCATACTTTCTGTGGATCAAGTCTCGAGCACTCTCGTACCTATGAGGACACCTGATCAGCCGTCACTAGCACCAAAGTGTGAAACAAATGGCATCTTTGACCCTCAATATGACTGCCTGTCGGCGGCAGTAGCTACTTCTTTTGTAAAAAGCCCCAACCCCATAGATGGCTCCGGACTTTATGGATCTAATCGACATCTTCATCAGCAATGCTTAGCCTCAGTTAACTGTGAGCTTGCGGATCAGGACTTGGGTCAGGCGTCAAATGATGATAGCCAAGCAACGGTGCTATACTCGGAGGAGACACTTGCTTCAGATCTGGGCGATTTACGCGCCGATGTTGACCAAGAGGTTGGCAGTGATGTTAGCGATCAGATAAATGGTACAGTTTCATTGCTGATTCCGCCTTCTACCTTACGCCTCAACCCAACTGGTTTTGAGTCAAACAATTTGGCCCCTGAACGCCATTCCATTCATAAAAAAGAGATAAGCCCTGGTCCAACTTCAGGCACACCAAGCCACCCTCAGGATCAGCAACGGCAACAGGAGACTGTAAGAGCGACATCACTGTTGGCTGGGCCGCAATCTTCTGCAGGACTGTACGTCCAGGAGTCACTTGCAATTGACAGTCTGATAGCGGGAAAAGCTAGTCGGTCTGCCGCCTTTTCGCATACTCGTATAGCGACAGTTATTAAACACGACATCGGCTCTCCACCACT